TATTATTATTTCTTTTTTTAATATATAAACTTTCAGTCATCAAAAAAATAGTCGAACAAAATTTATTTTATTAGTTCTCTAACTACTACACGCTATTCGGTATCTTTTAAATCTGTATTGCCAAAAATACGTGTTATCGTGATATTGTAATTTTTTTTGTCCATACGAGCGATATATCGCTTATTAATTCTTACTCAGGTTGTAGATTTGTACTGATATTCATTAGAATTTGCTACAGAGAGAAAGAGACAAATATTCTCAATGAGGTAACACAAAATATAAATCTTGCATTCCGCGATTTACCGTAATTTCAGAAAATACGGTGAATGGACTTTGAAACTTGAACGCAAAGATCAAAATCTGGCACAAAAAGAAAACTGGTGAATCAAGGGAAAAACCGAGAAATGTTTATTCTATAAAATCAAAAGAGAATTTGATTTCTCTAAATCCTATCAATTCTTTTTAAAACCACTTCGACCAAACTCTGATTAACTTAATTATCGATTATCTTATCAAGAATGTACAAATAGCTTGCATTATTTTATTAATATCTATAAAATTATATCAATTTTTTAATTGTTTCACAGAAGAGGAGGAGAATTAGATTAGGAACAACAAATTATACGGTTAAAAATTGTGCTGTAGATAATTCTGCCAGTTAAAATAATTAAATTAGATAGGAATTTGGTCGAAATAGACTATAAGTTTCATTTCAAACATGTTTCTCGTAGAAATTTATAAAACACATTTTTGGAATGTAAATTAAGAACGCTGTTTTTGATTGTACTTTTTGTTAACAGCGATCATCGTCTTAAGTTCGAGTATTATTTTAATGGGTTAAAATTGCTATACTACGCGATTCGTATTTTTCGTAATTGTGATGAAACATATCTTTATAATATTTTCATATTTTATATAGATAGTGTTGATTTGTTGTGTTGATAATTGAAAATATTACATAATACATATTTCGAAAGAGAAAAACGTACATAAAATCCGCATGATACAGAAAGTTGTGCGGGATATGAATCGGGGAGAATCAAGAATATCTCTATTATAAAGTGCATATAGACGTAGAGGAGCAACCACGATCATAGAGACAGTCATCATAGATTCTCCTTTTTTTTTTTCTTTGCTAGCGTATTGTAATAATTTTTTTTCTTTATATCATTATCTCATCTCCTCTCGCGATGTATAATTGTAATTATAATTATAATCAAATATTGTTTCCTAATCTACTGTTTCCTCTCACGACAAGATTTTCAGAATAAACGCGCATGTTACAAGCACTCTATAAATAACAAATGTTGCGTCGAGATTTTAGGTTTGTAATTGTAGAAGTTTCATTCCCCATATACAAATCACTTATCGACTAAATATAGTTGTGCAGAGATGTTTTGCAAGAAGAGAGTTTTTGGTATCTACCTTATTATGGATTTCACAAAAAAATCTCAACATATTAACTTGTATATAAGAAAGTAATACATATAATTTTCAATTTATTTGCCATAAACGTTATCTTAAAAACTACACGACATAAAAATTGCTAAAAAGTTATCGATCCCTATAAACTACTAAGACAATTTTCGCTTGCACACGCCAAAGCAAAGAGAATTCTAAGAAGTAATGACAACTAATTTTTTTCCCTTGTGCCAACATAATTTTGCGATGAGCTTTTAGAATTATATTAATGCAATAATAAATTACAACATCTTGATATCATTCTGTCCTTAACGTTTTTTACAGTTCCTTCAAAAAAGCATTTCTCATATTTCAATCATCCAAGTGCCGATATAATTTCTTTTCTCTTTTTGTTTGTTCTTTATGCGAAATTTCTTTATCAATCATGCATTAAAAACGTGGTATACGTTATTAATATTATTCTATAAAAGCAACGATTCCGCATTGCATGAACGAAAGGTATTCTACTTTCGAATTACAACTCGTTTGTAATTCAAAAACATATAGATTCCAATATTTTTATTAATTATTATACAGACACTATCTTTATTATAAGTGTAAAATATAAATAAATACGATTCGTTCGAGCAAAGCCTGCACAATATATATTTAGTACCGTAACCACTTAACATATAAATACGTTGTTGCTTTTAAATAACCAGAAGTTACATACGAATATATATTGATCGGTTCTTTTTATGTCGCGTGTGTACAAAGTTTAACTGTGAGAAGGCAATATGTTAAGCTTACAAGTAAAATGTACAAACGCGTTTTTTTTCTTTACGCTGCCTCCGATTATCAAACGTTATATTGTATCGGAAGACGGTGTGTTTACCGTTGTAATATATTGCAAAAATAGTAAAAATATTTAAAAAGGAGTATATTTTCTATATTCAATTTCGCATTATCAAAAACCTCAGAAAATGCAGAAACTTTACGAATTTTTGTAATGTTAAATCAAAGTGGCAAAAACTAAAATTAAAAAGAATATATTATTTTGTTATTGATAATTATATTCTGTCTTCTATTCGATGATGCAAAAATTTTTTGATTAAAGCGAGAAATGCAATCTTTGCATAAACGACCAGACAATGCGGAATTGGCTATAGAAATTAGAAACATTAACAGATCACATTCGCTTCTCGCAGAAAGCAACTTTATTACTTTCATAAGTCTGTTGAGAAAATGGCACTGCTTGCACATTGTTTTCTTCATGCAAATCACACTGTTACGTTTCTTTCTTTTACTTATTGTAAAGAATCTTATTCAATGCTAGATAATATGCAAAAATCACATGGTGTTTTATATGAAGGTAGCCAAATTACGCGTTTGCTTTCTTTTTGAAACAGATATTTATGAATTTGCGCGACTCAATCGTATTTTACTCTTTTATAGAAAATATTAATGATCAAATATGAGGATGCAAATGACTGCTGTGTAGTTCTCGGATCATTATTATTCCGAAGTTCTTTTTATATGTTGCTAAAATAAATATATGCTGTGTATTAATTCCAATTATTAAAATACATATTTAATTCTCCAAATGCTTGAAAGTAAATAAAAAGTATAAATATATAATTATTAGTATAAGAGAAAAAAAGAGAGTATTACTTTATATTTCAAAAATATAAGAAAGAAATACTGACGCAGAGAGATTTCAATTGAACAACACAAAACCATTGTTAATAAACCCAAAATTAGGTAATGCATCAATAAAAATATTGTAGATTTCGGCTTTCATACATATTCGATCACAGAAGCAATATGAATATTTTCAACTATCATTGTACATTCATGACAGAGGTTATATTATAATTTTAAAAAGAATATATTTCGACTAGTGGGGCATACCGAATAATTGGATTTAACTAAGTGTATAATCATACAATTCATAGACATTTGTTACCTCATATTTTTCACAAAGGTACTTGAATCACCCAAGTTTGCATCAATCATTACTGCAGTCTGATAAATCAACGAATAATTAAGAATATTGTAATATTATAATATCGTGATATCTCAAAAATAAATGAAATAATTATGAAAAACTGATTTATATCTTATCTAAGCAATTTTGAGATATTCACAAAATGATAAGATAACATAAAATATCTTAAATTTATATAAATCACGTATAATAATTACGAAATAATACGAGAGTCACAATAGTAAATTATATTCTTTTTCATGTCCATTCTTGTACAACGATAAAGAATGGCCGAAATCTTTGCGGACATTGAGCAAGTATATTTGCAAACAAGAATCTACATCTCGTTACAAATGAATAAAAGTTTTTATAATAGCTAATATTAGAATCAGCCATATTATTTTATGAAAATATAACAAATGCAGTAATCATTTATATCAAAATTACGAGTGTAATTAAAGACAACACAGATTTATAGCAAGTACCTTTAGTTATAAATTGTGATATAAATGTTCAGCAATTTTCATTAGATATTACAATTTTTACGCAATTAATTATTATACAATATTCTAGTGATTATGTGTATGGTTTTTTTGTCTGGACTGTGCTGATAATTCTTCTTCGATATTACAAATTTCCTGATTTTTGGTCCAAATTATGTAAATAAAGTAAATAGACAATTCTATAATCTTCAATTAATATACGCAAACAAACGCAATTACAATAATGATTCTATTAATCCTAATATAGAAGAAGAATCATTCGCACAAGACAGAGCATATAAATATAAATATGTGTATTGGTATTATTGTAACTT